GCGTAACTTATTTTCGTATTTCAGGATATTTGGATACTTGGGCACACAGGTCGTCTTCGAGGCGAGTGTCGAGGAAGCGCTGACGGGGCGCAAGCAGAACGCCAGCGGACCCAACCACACCACCCGCATCTCGAGGAGCGACTTCGAAATCAAGTTCGTGGACACGCCGTTCGAGTTCACGCCCGGGCAGCCGTTTCTTGCCAAGGTTCGAATTCTTATACAGACGGACGCGTTTAATTCACTCGCCATTTTAAAAAGATGGCCTCTTGACGCAATATTCTGCGTCGGTTAGCTGTTCACTGCGCTCGGCTCCTAGAAAAGTGTCTCGCTTTGCTCCGCACCTCAAATCTTGACTCTTAGGTGGCAGTGACCGACCTGCTCGGCGCTCCAGTCCAGGACGACAAGCATGCCGTGATCCTGCAAATCTGGCCCGATCATGAGTGGAAAACTCCAAAGGTCCTCGAGAAGAAGATGCTTTCCAACGGCATCGTGACCTTGGAGTTGAAGCCGGAGATCGACTGGTACTTCCTCAAAGTTCAGGTATAGGCAGGCGCCAAGATTATCATAAGGGAAGGCAGAGAAAGGGTAATTGGACATTTCTTTTTCAAAAACAAATAAACATATTTTCCTAGGCAATCTACAAGGAACACACTTGCTCTCAGACTTCGAAGCGTGGCATTGCCTTGTTCGACACAGACGCTCAACTCGTTACCAAAATCACCAACAAGTGTCCCCAGGTGCTCGAGTTATTGATCCAACGTGGTCAGACGGTGTGCTTGAGACTCTCAGTACTCATGTCGTTGTCTTCGAGCAGCTTGGAGACGACATCGAGCTTCACGTCAAGAGCAAGGCCCTGCGCAAAGTCACCGTGCTGGTGGTCGGCCCGCTCGGCGTCGAGGAGGTGCAGACCGTGCAGACGCTCCTGGGACAGGAGGGGTGGAGGGAGGCCGTCGTTCGCTTCAAGGCCACGGAGTACATGGCGCCGGCCTCGCGCGTCCTGGTGCACGGCGTCGGCGACGACGGCGAGCTCTACCTGGACGCGGCGGCTCTCGAGCTGGCGGGGCCGTTCACGCCGCTGGTGGAGGTGCGCGTGGACCCCGGCCGCTCCGAGCCCGGGCGCGACGTGGCGGTGCAGGTGGCGGCCGCGCCCAACGCCAGGGTGGCGCTGCTGGCCGTCGACCAGAGCGCGCTGCTGCTCGCCGGAGAGGACGCCCGCAACGGCATCTCGCACGACGACCTGCGCGCCGAGCGGCTGACCTTCAACACCAGCGGCTCTGCCTGTGGTTTTCGGAAGAGTCTGTGGCCAAAATCCACCTTGAGGGTTAAGTTTCTTTTGTGTGTGTTTAAATATGAATGCGTTTGTTTTATTCCTCTTGATGCACGATCGAGATACGTTGTTCTCTGCAGATGGCCGGCATGGCGTGCCTGACCAACACTTCTTCAGTCGAGGAGTACTCGGGTGAGTAAAGGCACGCAACGTGACATGCGCCCTCGTCTCGATACGAAATGACTTCGTGTAGTTGAGTAATTAAACGCTATCCCATTGTTTGCGCAGAGGATGCAAGGAAAAGGTAAAGACGCCTCCCTGGACGGAAAGAAGATAGTTAAAGTTGGTTCACATTATAGCAATGCGATGCCACAGTATTGAACTTGCATCTGTATCCGGCAGCATTGAGTCGAGAGAAAAGTGCACGCAAGAGTCTGAATTCTAAAAAAAATGGTTGTTGGCTTATAACTTCAAATTAACGAAGTGTGTATGCTATCAATGGAATCGGAACAAAATTCTGAAAAACGAGCACATTTTCAATAGTTTTGATTTTTATGGTTTCTGGAAATGCAAAAGATGCTACTATTTCCAGGTTCAGGTCCAGACGCGCCCCCGCAACCAGAGGGATGTACCGAGGTGGAGGGAGTGATGACGAATCATCCATAGAAAGAGACAGATCCAGAGGCGGCGACGACGACGACGACGAATGCATTGGGTGCGTCAAAATAAGAGGCGGGCCACACGACCGACCGACCGTCAACCTCAGAACGACTTAAAATTCACAGAAGGTTTTTTGGGGGGGCATGCTGAGTTCGAATCTGGCTGTGCCGATGTCATTCGGGCCTCCAGGGGTATCATCGGGGGCTTCTTGACAACTCCGATAAGGCTCAAATTAGGAATATAGGGGTTTACGGGCATAGGTACTGAGCTCGAATCGACCGGCGTCAAGTTATGGGGGTGTCATCGGCGTGCTCGGGAGTACCCGATGATGTTATCGGGTGCCCGGAGGACCTCGACACTACAAGATTTCAACTCGGCGTGCTCGGGAGGTCCCCGATGACGCCCCCAGGGTCCTGGATAGGATGACCTCAGCACTGCCAGATTCGAACTCAGCGCCCTAATGTGAATTTTAAGCTAGTTTTAAGTTGTCCTGAGGTTGTCGGTCGATCGGTTGGTCGGTTGGTCGGTCGGTCGGTCGGGTGACCTACCTGTTATTTTGACGCAAACGAAGACAGTGCCTGCCCGGAACCGAGGCTGCGGAGCGTTTTCCCCGAGACCTGGCTGTGGCAAGAAATCGACGCGGGGTATGTACCACATGCAGCACTCCCTGCCCACAAGATTGTGCGGCGACGATGTTTTACAGGTGAGTCTGTCGCAGAGCCGACGGGCGTGCGGTCCTGGAGGCGGCCGTTCCGGACACCATCACGTCGTGGGTCGTGTCCGCGCTCGCCGTGGACCCAGTTCACGGCCTGGGGCTCAGCGACACGAGCAAGGTACGAGGGGTTACGTTACGAGGGCACTGTCACTTTGAGCCATACCTGAGTCAACCTACCCATCGTGCCTCGCCCGCAGCTCACCGTGTTCAGGCCTTTCTTCGCCTCCCTGAGCCTGCCGTACTCGGTGATCCGCGGCGAGACGGTCGAGGTGCCCGTCCTGGTCTTCAACTACCTGGCCGAGCCCACGACGGCCACCGTCACGATGACCAACGACCGCGGCGAGTTCGACTTCGTGGAGGGCGGGCGCAGCGCGACCAGGACGGTGGCGGTGGCCGCGCAGGGCTCTGCCTCCGTCTGCTTCAACATCACCGCCATCAAGGTGGGCAGCGTGCTGCTGCGGGTGACGGCCAGGTCGGACTCGGCGGGCGACGCCCTGGAGCTGCCCCTCAAGGTGAAGGCGGAGGGTGAGACGCAGTACAGGAACAGGGCCATCCCCATCGACCTCAGCAAGCGAAAGGCGTTCAACGCCGTCGTCAGGATAGACATGCCTGGCGCGGTGCCCGACTCGGAGAACATCCAAGTGTCTGCCATCGGTGAGCTGGCCATCAACATCACAAGCCATTTTGAAAACGCGCGGAAAACTAACCACACGTCTGGGATCTGCAGGAGATATTCTCGGTCCGAGCACTGCCAACCTAGACAGCCTGATCAGAAGACCTTATGGCTGTGGCGAACAGAACATGCTGAACTTTGTTCCCAACATTGTCATCACGACATACCTGAAGGTAAAATTTCGGTGAACATGGCTTTAGAAAGGGGAAAAGTCCTGGACAGTACACCTAATCGGATTGTACCTCCGGCCAGCGCACAGGCCGCTCCAACCCGCTGGTGGAGGCCAAGGCTCGCAGCTTCTCGGAGATCGGCTACCAGAAGGAGCTCACCTACCGCCACGACGACGGGTCCTTTAGCGCGTTCGGTGAACACGACGAGAGTGGCAGCACCTGGTGAGAGCAGCACGGCACCGTTTGCCCCGAACTAGTTCGGTTTTGTCTCTTCTTGGGGATGCAAATCCTAAGGGCTCCGAGTGATTTAGGCTGACGGCGTTCGTAGCCATGTCATTCGCCCTGGCGCGCGCCTCGGCGCTGGTGCAAGTGGACCTTCGCGTGGTGCAGCAGGCGCTGGCCTGGCTGGCCAAGCAGCAGGCCAAAGACGGCTCCTTCCCGGAGGTGGGCTCGGTGTTCCAGCGAGACATGCAGGGCGGCGCGGCCAAGGGACTCGCGCTCACCGCCTACGTGCTCACCGCCTTCCTGCAAGATAAGGTCAGGCATTCCAGCCGTGTCTGTCCAACCTGCCCGTCGACTTTACTCTAGTCATTCTGTCTACAGGATCTGGCCGGGAAGCACAAGGACACCGTCGGGAAGGCCGTCCAGTACCTGGTGGACAACTTGGAGTGCCTCGACGAACCCTACGCCATCGCCGTCACCACGCACGCACTGCACGTGGCCGACCACCCCGCCAAGGACAAGGCCTTCGCGATGCTGGAGGCCAGGGCGGTCACCAAGGCCGGGCTCCGCTTCTGGAGCAAGCCCCGGGAGAAGGACTTGCAGCCCAACTCGCTGGACGTGGAGATGACGGCGTACGCCCTGATGACCTACGTCTCCCGCCGCCTCCTGGGCGAGGCAATGCCGATCATGCAGTGGCTCATTCACCAGCGCAACTCCAACGGCGGCTTCCCGTCGACCCAGGACACCGTCGTGGGACTGCGGGCGCTCGCGTCCATGGCGGAGCTGATCTCGTTCCCGCTCGGGGACATGACGGTCAGGTTCAAGCACCGGGGCCGGGGTGAGGCGACCATGGCCGTCAACAGCAAGACCAGCATGGTGTTGCAGAAGGAAGAGGTAGGTGCTCGCGCTGGCGAACCGCCGCCTTCCTGACCGCCACTGACGCTCGTCTCTTCAAGCTGCCCCGCGACGTGCGCGAGGTTGAGGTGGACGCAGAGGGCGCCGGCTTCGCCCTGGCGCAGGTGTCCTGGAGCTTCAACGAGAACACGCCGACCGAGTACCCCTTGTTCCACCTCAAGGTCACCGTGGGCGAGACCACGAGGCCTCATCTGCTGGCGCTTTCCATCATCTCAAGGTGAGGAGGAACCCTGCTGAGTTGAAATAGTTTTCACACTGAGGCTAATTTCGTTTCTTACATGAATAGCTTCATCGGAGGGTCGTGGGGCACCGAGAGCAACATGACCGTGGTGGAGGTGACGCTGCCGTCCGGCTTCACTACGGACCAGGACACGATGGCCGCCCTCCGCGCCAACGAGGACGTCCGCCGCGCCGAGACCAAGGACAAGGACACCGTCGTCGTCCTGTACTTCGACAAGGTGACGCTTTGAGGGCAGTTTCGGTTACAAGGAAGTACTGAAGCACGGTCACGGTAGATGTCGCTGCACTTGTTTCAGATGGACTCCAAGAGGGAGTACTGCGTGGACGTGTCTGCCGTCCGGACGCACCTCGTGACCCAACTTAAGCCGGTGCCCATTACAGTCTACGACTACTACGACCAGAGTAAGGCGGATCTCTTTACAGAAGCTGTTATTGCTTTGTCAATTACCTGCTGTAGGAAGAACACTAAAAAGTTTTGCATTTGCAGGCAGGCAAGCACGAGTCTTCTACGACCTTTCCCGACCTGTGTGACTGGAAATCTGTAATGCTTTTTCCGCCAGCCGTTAGACATATTTGTTACATTTTTGTGTGCCTTTGGGTGTACCATCGTTGAATAAAAGTATAAACTCTCTCCTTTGATTTCCCTGGACCCCGCGGTCCAAATGTTTTTCCTTTGTGGGAATGTGCCCAAATCACATCTCAAGTATGGGCTTTGCGCCGTCGCCAAACAACTGTTGGCGAGGTCTATGTGCAAGGTTGGTGTTCGGTCGATGAACCCGTTCAGAGCGTCGTCGCCCGTCGGTCCGCTGGGCAGCTGCGACCGCTCCGCTCCTTATTCCGCCGGCGATAGATAACGACGACTCATTCAACGGGTCAAGCTTTTGAAAGAATTCAAAGGAAACGAATGCTGATGAGTGACAAGTGCGTACTGGCGACCAGTCGCGCCGTCTTTTGGAGGTCAGAGCTGGTCGAGGAGCTGGTGCTGTCAGGCCGCCTCCAGCGCCATGAAGCTCCTCGCCATCCTGGCCCACCTCGCCTGCCTCGGGTCGCACGAGGCCGCCCTGCTGCCACCAGTGCCCGTCGTCGACACGCAAGGTATGCCCGACCTGGTGTCGACCTTTCTGCTGTCCATCAAGGGGAGCCTCGTCGTCTCCGGCAGGGCCCGCGCGCTGGACGCGTTCCTCGAGCAGCTGAACCCCGAAGTGCCCCGGTCAATAGTGTCGCCAGTGACAGACGACTACAGTAGCATTCGGCTACTTCTCAAACTACAAGAGACAGACAGTGTTATCCTCATAGCAGACGACGATGGATTTGACGTCGCCGAAGGACTCAACACCTGCGAACTTCCAGCGGTTTCGCGGCTACTTCTATGGACGTGGGCGGACAGCCCCCAGGATGTGGTTCCGCTCAAGAATCCCACTTTGAACGAAACGTGTATCACAGACATGGAAGTAGCCTTGGCCGTGTCCACGCGAAACGGAACGACATTCCTGTTCTACGTCTTGGGAGACGCAACCAGGCCAGAGTATCCTATAGTTGCGGCTGAGATAGACGTGTGGTCACCCTCGACCCGAAGCTGGGAGAGACAAGCTCGTCCGTTCAAGCGAATGTGCTCGAACTGGCAGCAGGGCAACAAACGCAGCAAGTTCACCCCACTTGAGATGCTCGCTTCTATCCCTAATGCTCTCGTAGACCAGAAAATGTACCGGGACGCTCTGACGCACTTTGCAAACTCTCTTCGTCCGCCAGCAAATGTGAAATGGGTGACAGATTTTAATCAGGCGTGGGACAAGGTTCTTAACTGCACTTTGAGCGGGTTTGTGTTCTTCTACCCTCTCCCCATACGGCCAGCCAGTGTAGTGCGCTGCGGAGAGCTCCTCAAGTCCAGCATACAGGTTGTGGTTCCCGACGGCCTGGGGCCCAGCCCCGCCCTGCTGCAGGCCGTCACGGGCGAGTTCTCCGCCGAGTTGTGGTGCGCCACCGCCGGCGCCGTCCTCGCCGTCGCGGTAGCCACGGCCCTAGCCGACAGGGCGATCTTGAGCCGGCCCCCCCTGGCCGCCCTGACAGACGCGCCACTGCAGGCCCTGGCCCCCCTCCTGACCCAGGCCCCCCCCGGCAAAACCGCGCACCGGCCGCTGTCCGCCGTCTGGCTGCTCATGACCGTCGTGCTAGCGGCCGCCTACCAGGGGCTGCTGCTCAAGGAGCTCACCACCGCTGCAACCCGCGAGATCAACTCCCTGCAGCAGCTGGAGGACAGTGGCCTGGAGGTCCGCGCCAGTGACGACACGTACCTGTACGTGCCGACCTTACTTTCGACCAAACTTCAATCCCGAGTGTCCTTCTTTTCCCGGGCTGAGTTGGCCTCAGCTGTGCGATCCGTCGCCAACTTGCGCCAGTCGGCTGTCATCTTTCAAAACGACTTCAGATCGATGATCGCTTTGCCCTGGTTCAAACATGTCCACATGTTCGAGATTGGCACATCACTCGCTAGCGGAATTTGCTTCACTAACGGCTCCCCTCTTCAGAACTCGCTTCGGCGAACTACTGATCGCTTCTCTGAACACGGTCTACACGACCAGCTAAGGCGAATTCAGTCACGTCACGTCACGAACGGTCACCCCAGTGATGACGACCAGTCTGCGAAGCCCCTCAGCCTGTCTCAGTTGAAGCCCGCCTTTGTGCTCCTCGCTTATTGCTACGTTGTAAGCACACTCGTTTTTGTTTTGGAAATAATGCGTCACATTTGGTTCGACAAACGTAATATGTAGTCCCTTTAATCATATCCAACGCAATAGCGCACCCCGAGAGAAAATTTTAAGTGAGCCAGGGCCGTAGAAACACAGAGTTATCTGGTATTAATTCGTATTTGGTAACATTACCTGAGTTTAACAAGTCAAAACGAGATTAGCTGAAATATTTGTATTTATGCTGAGGCAGGGATTTGTTGGAGACGGACTTGACTCACATTGCCTTAATGCTCGTCCTTACTAAACAGCATTATTAAGTGTAACGGGGACTTTGTAAAGAACGAGTACCATTTTAGCGCAATATTAATATTGTGTTTTCTTCTTACTTGTTGTTTTATACTGTAGCTTGCAGCCGTGCGGAAGGGCTTGCCTACCGACTCTTGCCAGGGCGTCTTATGGCCCCCAGTGCACCCTGCACTTCTGTTTCTCAGATTAATGCTATCACTGAGCCACGTACGAGAGCTCGGCGCCTGCGATACTCGGGGTAGGCAACGCCGCAGTACACGCATGCGCTACAGACAATCTGTTGTCTATCTACCAGGCGCTCTGAGACCTTAGAGGACGTCGTTTTGCACGAAGTTTTGAAATCACGAGGGCCTGTAGTGCCACCGCGTGCTACGTCAAAATACAAGATTTTTGAGCCTAATGGCGACCTGATAGGACCACGGAAAAAGGTCCCGCCACGCTGTCAAAGTTTAACGTAGAACATTTATGGGGAAATGGTGCAAAAAGTGAAATTTCCGGTTTTAGCCTTTTGGATGCAAAATTTTTGAAAAACTCGGGCGGAAATGTAATATACGCGTAAAAACGCTTCTGGAAACGTGCCACACGACACATTTCAATACGGGATATTTGAGCTATGCACGGCAGAGTTTTTATTGAGCCTGTTTCCAAATTGTAGGACGAAAGATCTCAG